CCCAAAATGACTAGTGTAAAACCATTCAAACAGGAAAACCAACGGTCTAATCTATATAAAAAAACCTAAACGCATGTTTGGAATGAAAGATCAGATAATTGTTTTATAAAGATGCATGATTTTACCTCATTTCTTTTTTATATAAGATGTAGATAAACTGACATGGATTCTTAATGAAACTGATGTTCTATGTTGGGCATAATTTTCTTGTTAATTATTTCTTTCTCTCCCATCCCTCGGTCGCTTCCGATAGATAACATTACAACATGATAAGAAGCAACCACTGTATGTTAATTCCTTTCTGAGGTGCTATTTTGGGAATTAGAGGTAGCTTCCTGGCTGAAGTCGAAATGTAACTGTGAAAACAGTCTTTGTTGTAAAGAAGTTTATTGAAATGAATCAAGATTATTAGTTTTTGTAGCCAGTTTGAAAATAGTTCAAAACCCTAAGCTATATTCTTATTTGATAAACCCGAACTAAAACCATTTTGGAAAACCAATTACATTGGTTTGTACGGTTTGGTCATTGGCTATCATATTAATAATATGCTTGATCTCAATTTATTTATACCCCAGGCAACAAACTTAAATCAGGTATTTAGAGTAGAAACAGTTTGAAACCTCAAATTTATACTTAAATCAGTTTGTTCAAACAAATCTCATTTTTTTTTCATTTCATTTTGTAAATTAGCCAAAATATAATGAAGTTGTTGTTTCTATACGAGTGTGTGACAGACAGAGAGAAGCAGGAATAACAGTGCCAATTCAGTATAGCTCATGCCCAGTAAGCAATTTAAAAATCATGTTTTTGCAATCGCATGTCCGTTGAATACGGATATTGATTTTAAGAAAATATAATGTGTTACTAAGTTATGCTATTTTTTGTTATGAATACAAACGTTTTTGAATCATCTAATTTGTTATGATATCGTCCTATTTTGTCGCCAAAAACGCTCTAAGCCTTTGTCAACTAGACCCTCTAAATTTGCTTATGAATACAGATTGCCTCGATGCCTTGAAAACGAATTGACGGAATTCTCAGAAACTTGCACTGATTCTTCTTAAGGGTGGACATGAAGTTGTGCACCAGCTACTTCAACTTTAAATATGATTTTTTAGGAGGGGGCGGGGGTTGTTCACATACCAAAAACAAAAGAATTGACTATACCATTTATAACTATATTTTTTGGAGAGAGTATTCGACACACGTGCTTTAAAAAAACTCACACATTTTCCTATAATAAATTAACATACTCATCTCTAATTTTATAAAATAATCTTGAATAGATAATATTCATCTTCATGTTATTATAATTCTTTGGACAATTGCTAATATATTTTCGCAATCACATACCGTTAGTTACTTAAGTATAATAGTTTTCAATCCAAACACCGAGGAATAGATCAGACATCATTTTTTTTACTTGATAGACTATAAATTTAAAATAAACAGAGAGTCACCACCTCAACTCCAAATAATATTACTCAGTGTCTGTAAATCGTTTCATATCTATAGAATTATTTTAATGACTCAAACGCATATTCATTTATGAACTGTTTCGATATGACATATAATTTCTGCATTTAACACACCTAAAGGGTGCCTTTAAATTTCGTCATAATTTCCAAGGTTGACTGGTATTTTAGAATAAGATTAAGTATGGTTTCTTTATATAAAAAAAAGGAAGATGTGGAATGATTGCCAATGACACAAATCTCCACCAGAGACCAAGTGACGTAGAAGTTAACAACTATTGTCACCGTACGGGCTTTAACAATGAACAAAACCCATACCACATAGTATCGGTAAGCTACAATGCCCCGAAATGACAAATGTAAAACAATTCATACGAGAAAACTAACTGCCTGATTTCATTGCGTTGTCTTTTATTCTAATTATTGTTTTTTTCCTTATTTATATTTTGGTATAATTGTAGAGCATTAATTAATATAAATAGAAATTCATTATATTATCTCTGACTGTATCTATCAACACTCAGTCTCTATAAAAGACGATCGTTATTTTATCTCTGACCCTGTATATTTAACTCCTGCTATTGCATAATTTATGCATAATCAACTTTTCTATTATCCGTCATCTCACACATCATAGATATAATATAAATGGCTATTATATCTTTGCACATATTAAGTCCTAAAATTTAATGATTCTTTCAGAATAATCATCATACCGCTAAAAATATTTTAATAATTTAAATGTTTACTAAAAAAATTAAATGTTTCGTTAGAATCTCATATCTTCATTTTTCATATCTCAACGATTTTTTAAGGTTCAGTTTGTTTTTCTTTAATTTATTTTCTTTTTATTTCAAAAATTTGTATTTTGATATCGATAACAGATATTTTGTTCCAATATTTTACCAATTAAATAATATGATTATAATAATTCCATTTTTGCTATTTTAATTAAAATAGATACAGTTATTGCCAAGAATCTGTCCGGTTTAAGGGAGATGACCCAATTTGAAAACAATTATTTGTATCGACAAGGACGATAACCCGTCCTCGCTTCATATGGGGTCACTTGCCAATTTGACATATGCGATAAGACGCACAATTAAGGGGTTAAACACCCGCTGGTCTGAAAAGATAACTTCAGTGAAAACCAATACCAGATGTTATCGATAAAATAATTTTGAATCATGTTTTCTGTATTTTGGTGTAATTTGTAAAATTAATTGAAGGCCGGAGTTCCTATTCGATCTTTGTTGAAACCTGGGACTACTGAATTAGTGTATTAGTCCCAGTTGAAACATTGAAACGGCATGAGATGTTTTAACCAAATTGGTAAATAAAAAATGCATATAAATAAAAATAGATTTTCTTATTCAAAATGAATTGAGCATCAAACTGACTGAAATGTAATTGAAATTTTAGTTCAACTATTTCACATATTAATTACTGCTTAAACGGACTTAGCTCTTTCTTAATTTCGCTAAAATGGTTCAGTTTTAAAATCTAAAAAAAACGCCTAACCATTGATGGTAATTTTTTCGCTTAAAATCTGATGTCCAATGTTTACACCGCTTGTATTTCTATGCGACTATAATTTAGTACTGATGTAAAATATCAATCAGTCTCGATTTACACTTATCTCTATAGCAACTGTAAGACGCTAATACATATTCATTAGGTCAATTATTTACCTATCACGCAGGTGGCCACAGAAAAGAACAGATGTAATCCGAAAAGACTATAGGCATTTCCGGTATTCCGAAAGACTACAATGGGTTCACGCAACAAGGGGGTTAGATGTGAAACAATATCAAAAAGACAACCATAACCTTGAACAAAACTCTTTTTAGACCGGCAAATTTCATTCGTGTGTATCGCGCATGAATATATTTTACACAGAGGCAACAGAAGTAGTTTCGACAACATGGTTTATCGAAGTGTAAAAATCTATTAAAGAAAATCTAACAGACCAGGAACATATATATTGACGGGACTTGACACAACCTAATTGTAGTCGATTTTATCGTCGTGCCATAGTTAATAAAGATACGATACAGAAACGGACATGTGTTAAAAACGGACTCGCTATTATCCTAATAATTTCTGATATTATCAATAAAATGTCATTCAAACTAGTTTTATAGTGATGCTAGTGTATCAAACTTGTATTCTGTCACTTCAAATTTGTTAAAATCGCAAGCATTTCATCACAGAATTGTGCAGAATGCAAACCAGGTAATAAAAAAATGGCGGCCATTGCCGCGATGATTTACAAATTCCCAAACTATTATAAAACACTTCACATCAAATAAATCAAACTTATTTTGGTAATTTTATATGACAAAATATATCTACTAAATGATAAAACTTGTATTTATTTTATAATTAGAGTTATGTGGTTTATTTGTTGAGCAGTTCTGATAGTTTTTCAGTCAGACGCTACCAAAATCCGTAAATCTCGGGAAGTCTCGGGGAGTCCGAGATTTTATGAATTTTATACTGAAAAGCGTATCAGATTCATTTCCCGTTAGATATACTGTTCCCAGAACAGACTAATCATATTCAAGTATTTGTTGATATGCTAACAATATAAGAACTATTTGATATTGACGAAAACATAATAGGAGTGCATGTAATTCATAAACAAACAAAAGATATAAAGAAGAAGAAAATAGAATATAATTTGCGATATTCTGACGCGTTTTATAATTCTTGGTCACTTATGTTTAGAAAGAAAGGGGAGAAATCCAAACAATTACCGACCAATCACAAACGTTGTTGCAAATTTGACCTTGTGACGTCAAAGAATTTCCCATAATGCAATCATTGCATATAAATAAAAAAAACTGCTATACCAATTGAATAAAAAATATTGCATTAAAATGACAAGTTATACCAATTGAATAAAAAATATTGCATTTGAATGACAAATTATACCATTTGAATAAAAAATATTGCATTTAAATGAAGAAATATACCAATTAAATAGAAATATTGCATTTAAATGAAAAATATCAAATTTTCGCAACCAATACCATGCCATCGAATGCCATACAGGACATCGAATTTTTTATATAGTTGAATAAACCGAATGGTATTATATGATTCTGTTGATATTCAAGAAGACAAAACGGTGCAGTCAGTCAGCGGGCAGTTTACACACCAATAATCTCTAGAAAAAAACTGTTTAAACATATGTCACGAAAGTAGTTTCGGCAACATGGTCTATCGAAGTGTTAACCAAGGGGAAATTTTAACGGACCAATCACATTCAAGTATTTGTAGATATGCAAATCATATAGAATTATAGGCCGTTTTAAACCAAAATAAACAGTTTAATGAACTCATGTCAGAATAACACGTTCCACCATAGAAAATATACACAAGGGGTAAACACTGTTTGACGCCTTGATATTTGACGTTAAGAAAGAACCAGTTATTATTTGATCAAGTGGAAGAGTCAAAAACAGTCAACTATATTTGGATAGAATAATACTAATGGAACGAAATAATGTATATTAACAGGTTTGTCTGCTGCGAAGCTACTACATGAAAAGGGAATTGAAGTTCTAGTACTCGAGGCACGAGATAGAGTTGGTGGTCGGACATTTACAGAACACGTAAGATACCAAAATTATTACACACTTAAAAAATGACACAGAAACTAGACACCTTCTAGAAATGTAGTTGCTTAGATCTACGTCATTTTGGTCTCTTGTGGATAGGTGTTTCATTGGTAATTATACCACATCTTCTCATTTTTATATATGGGACGTATATATATTGGCAAACTATATGTGCTGCTTTACTGTTAAACAAATTATGTATACCACATCTTCTTATTTTAATATATGGGACGTATATATGGGCAAACTATATGTGCTGCTTTACTGTTAAACAAATTATTGCTTGAATACGGACTTTTATGTTTGGTCATTCATTATACATCGGAATGACTAAGTCAGGTTAAGATCGCAAAAGAGAAACAACAGGAAGAAAAGAACTATATTAAAAATATGACACACACACACAAAATGATCAGCTATCTTAAAATAATAACAGGAATAAGTTCATACAAACGAGAGGTTTACCTAGCTAAAACCAGGTTCAATCCACCATTTTCTACATAAGAAAATGCCTGTACCAAGTCAGGAATATGACAGTTGTTATCCATTCGTTTGATGTGTTTGTTTTTTTTTTTATTTTGCCATTTGATTGGGAACTTTCCTTTTTGAATTTTCCTCGGAGTTCAGTATTTTTGTGATTTTACTTTTTTCTTATAAATAGATTCATAATGATTGCGATTATATAGAACAATATGAACAATCAATAACGCACGGATTGCAAAGTGTATACAATCGTATATATAATGGAATCGATTATAATTAAATTATTTCTATTCAATCTCATTTAAGAATCCTAAAGTGAAATATGTCGACCTAGGTGGTGCATACGTGGGTCCAACTCAAAACCGTATCTTAAGATTAGCAGATGAATTTGGCATCGAGACATACCTAACAAATGAAGTCGAAGATGTTATTTTTTATACAAAGGTAAGTGGCATCATCTTGACGCCCATGCAACATGGCGTGTTTTCAGAAGTAGAAGATGTCAAGTAATGTGTTCGTTTACATTTTGTTGTCTTATACGGCCATTATGTGTGCAACCACCTTAACCGGTGCAATGCTAGAAAATGACAATACTGCTCCAGATTATATTAAGATGATCGATCATCAGTGAACGAAAATATTTTTCTCTCCTTTTCCTATGGAAATACTCGAAAAACTCAAAGCTTCATACATCTTGGAACATGAACTGAACCGAAATATGTATAGGACATGGCGTGAATTTTTTCAAATGAACACATAATAATATATATATATATATATATATATACAAAGTACAAACCGAAAAATAATAATCCTAAAATATTATTCCGTATAAAAGAATGCTGGTAAGCAAGCTCAAAATACTTATCATGCTGACATAAAATTACGCCGTTCTACATACAAATCTCTCATGAAAGGAATGCTTGATTTACATGATTAATATTCTGTCGGATAGTTATCTCATTGGCAATCATACCACATCTGATCATTTTTATAGCAATTTTCTCCCACCCTGGATCGTTCTTAACATGCATGAGATATTTGCCAGTGGACGTTAAGCAACCAACAATCAATCAGTCAATCAAAGCACGGATCATTGAATTGAACTTCCCCCTAGACAATCTGTACCTCTAAACCGAAATCCTTTAACTCCTGTTCACTTACTACAATAATCTGCAAATTGATGAATTTATAAAATTTCACATGTGAATAATTATACTCTCATACAGGATACTTCAAATAGCAGATGTATGTTTCTTCAATTTTAGGGGAAGTCAAAAAGATTCACTGGAACATTTCCACCAATGGGAAGTTTTCTGGCATACATGGATATGAACAATTTGTTTCGACTTATAGACCAAATGGGCGAAGAGGTTTGTCTTGCATCTTATAAAACCTAGCGATGAGAGAAAAGAAATGAATTGGCATTTTATTTCATAACAATATGAAGAAAACACGTTAACTGGTATTGCTTTTTTAAATAATGACGATTTTTACTGATCAAAGAATACAGTGTGTCAAAATATATTTATTTGTTTTACTCATATAATATAATCGTGATTATTTTTCAAACAGTAAATTTTTTGTTTAAAATAACATTGGTTAATTAGTGAATACCGTCAGGAATTTTTTTTTACTGCGAACAGAACATACAAATACATTTATCGATTAAGGGTTAGTTTTTCCAAAGATGCACATTGATATTCATTTTGCCCAAATAACGTTTAACTTAATAATTATTAGATACCTATGGAGGCACCATGGAATGCTCCGAAGGCAAAGGAGTGGGATTCGATGACAGTAAAAGAATTTTTAGATAAAAATGTGTGGACAGCGTAAGAATTAATTATCAAGCCTGACTCTATATTTCATTAATGTCATCAATTATCTCTTTCCAATATCTTTTCGGAACAATGGTATAGCGCTCTCGTTTTTGTTGACGTTCGTCAAAAATAGAATCATAAGAAACGTGGATTATACATCAATGAGATAGCAACAGAATTACACAAAATACATTTGAAATTATCAAACGGTCTTCATCTAACGACAAAATACATCTTGAGATTATCATACCGTTTCCTCAGACCACAAAATGCATCCCCAAGTTTTCATACGGTTTTTATCAATCAACAAGTGAATATATACAAAATATTATGTTCAAAATCACCCTTAGTCTTTGATCATGTTCTGATTAAGTTTAATATAGGCTACCAAGTATCTGCCATAAAAAATGAAATATATCTACAGTTAACCACGGACGAGATTCGTGATTTTCGCTCATTAACATGTTTTTGGAGGAGTTGATCTTCTTCTTTGAGTACCCAATTCCCCCTTTTAAATCTGTTTCATTCAAATATCAAAAAGGTACAGAAAAGAGCGTATACTGAATACAGAAAAGAGCGTATACTGAATACAGAAAAGAGCGTATACTGAATACAGAAAAGAGCGTACGCTGAAGCTCGCAGTAACACGAAGCAATATCAAAGTACTAATCTACCGATATAGCTATCATGGCTCCCTACAATGTAATACAGAAAGCTTTATTTCTTAAAAAGGCAACGTTGTAAAAAGTTTGGGAAGACAAAGTCTAAAGTAAATTTGAGTAATTTTCCGATTGTGTCCTATTCGCGAGTGTGACATTTTGACTGGTTTTGAATTCGCATGGCAAGTGATGCATACATAGCAGGAGACACTTACCCTATCGACAGATCCGGTTTCGCTCCTTTTGGAGTTCATGCGATTCCCTTAGATTTTGTCTGTTGCCTTGGTTTGTCTATTCTTAATCTATTAACGTGACATGAACATCGGTAAACTACTCTAGGCTTAATTTGATCTCTTTTCTGTTGTTGTTTTCCCTAGTTTTGACATGGAAATTTGTTTCCTTTGAACCTCTTATGAAAGTATTTTTTTCATGTAGTATAAAATTGAGAATGGAAACGGGGAATTCGTCAATCTATCTATTTATTTTAGTATCTATCTCAATAAGGAGCCTAGAGTCCGATTTTATGGTTTTTTCATAAGATTCCTGAGTAAGTTCCTAACCTGCACTTTGTAATTACATTTATCTGACTTTAATTTACCTTTCCAGATCATTACATAAAATATTTATTCCGTCATTTCCTGACACCAAAAACCTTTACAAAGACGACTAAATAACTGACACCAAAAAACCTGTACAAGAGACGAGCAAATATCTGACACCAAAAACCTTTACAAGAGACGAGACGACAAAATGCCTGACACCAAAAACCTTTACCAAAGACGACAAAATAGCTTACACCAACAACCTTTACAAGAGACGAATACATATCTGGCACCAAAAACCTTTACAACAGACGACAAAATATCTGACACCAAAAATCATTACCACGATAAATATATGATACTAAAAACCTTTACAAGAGACGACAAAATATCAGACACCAAAAACCTTTACAAGTGACGACTAAGTATCTGACACCAAAAACCTTTACCAAAGACGAGTAAATATCTGACACAAAAAAATCATTACCACGATTAAATATATGACACCAAAAACCTCTACCACAGACGAGTAAATATCTGACACAAAAAACCTTTACCACAGACAAGAAAATATCTGACACAAAAAACATTTACCAGAGACAACTAAATATCTGTCGCCAAAAACCTTTACCAAAGACGAATAAATATCTGGCACCAAAAAACCTTTACAACAGACGTCAAAATATCTGACACCAAAAATCATTACCACGATTAAATATCTGACACCAAAAACCCTAATAATAGACGACTAAATATCTGACACCAAAACCATAAGAAGAGACGAATAAATATCTGACACCAAAAACCTTTACAAGAGACGACAAAATATCAGACACCAAAAACCTTTACAAGTGACGACAAAGTATCCGACACCAAAAACCTTTACCAAAGACGACTAAATATCTGACACCAAAAATCTTTACCACAGACGAGTAAATATCTGACACAAAAAATCATTACCACGATTAAATATATGACACCAAAAACCTTTACAATAGACGACTAAATATCTGACACCAAAATCCATAAGAAGAGACGAATAAATATCTGACACCAAAAACCTTTACAAGAGACGACAAAATATCAGACACCAAAAACCTTTACAAGTGACAACTAAGTATATGTCACCAAAAAGATTTACCAAAGACGACCAAATATCTGACACCAAAAACCTTTACCACAGACGAGTAAATATCTGACACAAAAAACCTTTACCAGAGACAACTAAATAACTGACACCAAAAACCCTCGACAGAGACGACTAAATATCTGACATACGAAATACAAGAATCAACAAAGACAACTAAATATCTGACACAAAAATAAACTTGAATAGAGACAACTATATATCTGACACAAAAACAAATTTAAAACGACCACTTTTAAAATATCCGACACAAAATAAAATCAAAAGAGACGACTAAATATCTGACACAAATGATATGAATATAAATGTATATCAAACTGAAAGAAAGTTTTCACTCTTAACACGTGACATATTTTACTGATTAATAAACTATAAATAACGTTCAAAACAAAACTATATCTATACCTTATAACTATAAAATATCAAAGGCTTCAGTGATGTGCACTGAATGCAAGGAACAATGATAGATTATAATAACAAAACGCTGATCATTGAATACCGAATGTAATTTGGTTGAGGAAGATTTATTTGTTAGAGGAAAATGTGTCATATTCTTTCTGTTTCATAGTGCAGCCAAAGCTTTTGCAACATGCTTTGTACAAGTGAATGTGACCTCCGAACCTTATGAGGTATCTTTATTATGGTTGCTTTGGTATGTTAAATGTGCAGGAGGTTCCATGCGAATCTATTCAACGACTAATGGAGGTCAGGTGATTAAACGATGTCTTTGATGTAGTAAAATATTCTGTAGAAACTGCACTTTATTATCAGCATGTTTTTAAAGTTTTATTATTGTTTTGTTAATTTTTATTTTGTTTTTGTTTTGTTTGTTTGTTTGTTTGTTTTCTCTTTTTAGTTCTTTTTAAATGTCATACCTTTTTGTATTTACAAATTGTTAAGTATTGTACGAAGATGTGGAACAGCATTTATCAACGTGAATATGACTTCAGAACCAGAAGAGAGTTCTTTGTTGTGGTTTTTGTGGTATGTTCGTCAGTGTGGTGGCTCGAATAGGATACATTCAACTGAAAATGGGGGACAGGTCAGGTTTTGTATTTGAAAATATTTAAAATAACAAAATTTAGATTAATTAGTTAACATTATTCTTGCTGATATCATTGAAATAACACGAATATAACATAATTAAAAGGATGTATCAATTTGTTTACAAGAACTTCCTCGTCAAACTTGCACCTCTGTCTTTTACGTTTTACTTAACTTTGTAGGAAAATGAAGATTGGTGTAGAGGAGATAGGTTAACGGATATTTTTGAAAATAAAACTAAGCCCACGTATCCAAGCTCAATATACAATACAGTTATCTACATTCTAATGCATAATTAAAAAAAACATTATATTTTAGCGTAACTTTAGGATAAAAATCTCATATATATATATAAAATTCCGCTAAAGGTTGTTCTAATCCTTAAAGCACATAACTTGCTTACTGGTCACATGAATTATTTATCGAACTGTACTATTAACTTTTTGCAACTACCATCACCGCTATAACATGGAAGTCGAAATGTAACAGCCACTATGTTCCGTCAGTTACTTTGTTCCGGCGGAACTTTTCAACTAGTTATTTCGTTCCGATGGAACTTTCCAACTAGTTGTTTTATTCCGAGTGCAGTCGAAAAGTTCCGGAAAAAAGTAGCTAGTTGAAAAGTCCCGGAACAATGTAGCTAGTTGAATAGTTAACCCTAACCCTAACCCTAACCTAACCCTAACCCTAACCTTAACCCTAACCTAACCCTAACCCTAACCCTAACCCTAACCTAACCCTAACCCTAACCCTAACTCTAACAAAGAGGAACTTTGTGACTAGTTGATAAGTTCCGTTTGACTTTTGTGGCTAGTATCTTTGTTCCCCTTTGAAAAGGTTCAAAGATAATATGTTGCGCTTTTACTTTGCATCAATTCTCCAAATGGAACTTTGTGACTGGTTGATAAGTTCCGTTGGAACTTTTGGGCTAGTTAGTTAGTTCCGGTTTTGACTTATTTGCCAAAGAGGAACTTTGTGGCTAGTTGATAAGTTCCTTTTGACCTTTGTAATCAGTATCTTGGTTTCCCTTTGAAAGGTTCAAATATAATATGTTGCTGTTTTACTTTGCATCAATTCTCCAAATGGAACTTTCTGCCTGGTTGATAAGTTCCGTTGGAACTTTTGTGCTAGTTTGTTAGTTCCGGTTTTGACTAATTTGGCAAAAAGGAACTTTCTAACTAGTTGATATGTTCCGTTGGAACTTTTCAACTAGTCACTTTGTTCCGGTGGAACTTTTAAACCAGAGGAAAAACAAAGTAACTAGTTAATAAGTTCCTCCGGAACTTTTCGGCTAGTTAGTTCTTTCCGCACGGAACTTTCCAACGTCGGAACAAAAGAGCATTTACAGAAACACCATGGAAAGATGTTCGAAACTACAATTAAGAGGCAGTATTATATTTATATTAAAACCGTCTTTCATTTCAGGAAAGAAAATTTGTAGGCGGTTCCCAACAGATAAGCAAACGGATTGCAGAAAAATTAGGAAAAGGTTTGTTTTCTAACTCATGAAACCGAAACACTTGCTTTAAATATGAATATGGCCTTGCGCTTTTTTCGCATATATTTCAAGTGCAATATTTTAGTTTAAATTTAACCAGTAAATATCAAATTACAAATATGTTAAGCACTTTTAGAAAAAAATATTGTATATAGTTTATATATGAATCCAAAAATTGAATAATTAATAACACATACGCAAACTAGTAACATAATCATAAAATAGAGAATGAAAATGGGGAATGTGTCAAAGAGAATGGAAATGGGGAATGTGTCAAAGAGAATGGAAATGGGGAATGTGTCAAAGAGACAACAACCCAGTACAATTGAGAATGGAAATGGGGAATGTGTTAAAGAGACAACAACCCAGTACAATTGAGAATGGAAATGGGGAATGTGTCAAAGAGATAACAACCTAGTACAATTGAGAATGGAAGTGGGGAATGTGTCAAAACAACCCGACCAAAGAGCAGAAAACAGGCCACCAATGGGTCTTCAACACAGCGAGAAAATCCTACCACGGAGGCGGGCTTGAGCTGGCCCCTAAACAAAAATGTGTACTAGTTCAGTGAAAATGGACGTCACACTAAACATACCTTCTTGCTCACTAGAAAATAAGTGTTTTCAATTCTAGAGCACAATGTGGATGGTTTTACATCCGAAGTAAAAATGTTATGCGTGACTGATTTTTCCTTGATTTATCATTAGAACATACTTTCACTTTTTGTCCAATTGAATATTAGTATTTAATCTTTATGGTCACAGTTAATGGCTTTTTGTGCACTATAAAAATGCTACACATGAACGATTGTATCCAGATAAAAGAGAGGCAAAAGATACCAGAGGGACATTCAAAATCATAAGTCGAAATAAACTGACAACGCCAGGGCTAAAAAAGAAAAAGACAAACAGACAAACAATAGCACACAAAACACAACATAGAAAACTAAAGACTGAGCAACACGAACCCCACCAAAAACTGGGGATGATCTCAGGTGCTCCGGAGGGTAAGCAGATCCTGCTCCATATGTGGCATCCGTCGTGTTGCTCATGTTAGTACAAACCCGGTAATTAGTCTAATTCGTTAGGTCACATTCGGCATAAGGGGACGGGATTATAGTTACGACATTAGGCATCTGTGAAACGGATATTCCATAACGGTCAATCAACTCGTGATGGCGTCCGTAAAACTTACTAAGGGATGATTTCAACTTCACGACTTGGAACTCTTGGTATTTTTATAAAATGGATGTCTTAGACTTGGAATGCCAATTTTTCTATATATATTAAGATGAACTATTCTGAAATTTTAAACTGACTGTTCAGTGTTTAGTTGTCAATGTGTTTTTGTGGAGTGTGGTTTTCTAGTTCTTTCAACTAGTCATTGACTTGCGATTTTGATTGCTAGTTCTGTATATAATTTTTTATTTAGATATATATGAATGTTTAGGTATGTTGATTAAGAGTAACATGATTTCGAGTGATGAAGACAATAACAATCAAAACCAAGGAGTAAACAAAGACTTGTACAACCAAAAGATATTTACAACAATTAAAATAAATAAGAAACAGCAATAAATATTTAGTTTCAGTGAAAATGATGTTGTTCTACTTTAAGAGTGTGCGTTATACACCCATGCTTTTAAAATTTTGTTCACTTTACTTGTTGAAAATTAAAACATTTACAAATAGACACGACTCTGGAGGTGTGCCTCTCTGGAGGTGTGCCTAGATTAGCAGAAGTTATAAAATACAGATAATGTTTTTTTGTAAATATTGCAGATTAACAAATCAAATAAACACGTATTAATAATTGATATTTCAATATTGAATTTCAGTGTGCAATATATGCATAATAAAACGAACATGAATTAATGACAGATGATCGGAACTGAAATACACATAGTTAATTTTCCGGCATTTGATGTCTTATCCTGAGACGAGAAAAGTCTGTAATTCTTTATCTCATTTAAGCCAATAGCTGTTGCTGTATCTCAGCCACATCATAAATCAACCAAACAGAATCTATATGTGATAAGTAATTATTTCAAGATGGCGTGTATATCGACTGAAACTAATAGCTCCGCACCGTGATGCAAGGCAAATAGCTTCCTTGTGAGCAGCAACCCTCGATCAAGGAAATAATGATAGGAAATACAAGTCCTGGAATATCGTATCAACTGGGAGATATATACTCCGTATGCAGACGCTGCATAACAGTGTGGACGAGACCATTTTTTGACGCGCTCAAGTCTTCCATTGACTGGGTTAAATTAGTTGAACGTTCGTCTGTAACGCCCACTTATCACGTCGTATTTATTATAGACATTTAAACTGTGGGGTCACCAAAGGTTCTCAACGCCTCAACGTCAAATCAAATAATTTGAAAAACTAGTACAGGAATTATCTTTGTGTTTTGATTAATATTGAATTCTTAAACGTCCTTTACATGCGTTTTTGTTATGTTTTGATAAACAATTTTTATTATATTGCACGTTCTTTAAACATAAAAATTGATTTTAATAGCTTTAAAAGTTTCGGACGTCAAAGCGATTAACCCATTGCGGTTGTCTAATTTTTTCACTTAGAATCTTTTAACATTTATCTTGTGTAAAATTTTATTTTAGAACGAATGCATGATCAACTTTCAATAGTTGTGCAATTACAAAGCAAAATATACTTTCGTACGGTCTTTTTCGTACTTGCAAGATATTGGACAGTAAAAAGCTATTTGGACCAAGCCATATGAAATTTGCATTTACTTCACGAAATACTAGTAGGTAAAATGTATAGTTTGGTGTATTTTTGAAACTGGAATTTTTCTTCTAACTACTATACTTGTGAAAAACCCTTGGTAGCAGCTTGATTATGCACCGACTATTCTTCCTTTTCTGAGTGTGTGTTTGTTGGTTTTTTTGTGTGAGGGGGGATTGTTTTTTTTTCTCATGCACATACATGAACATTACATTTTTTATCTTAGTGTCGTATTTTTTTTCGTCCCTAATTTTGAAGTGTAAATCAATTAGTTTTTTCCCCTTTTTTTCTGAAACAAAGTATGTTTTTTCCTTTCCAATTTTTTTTTTAGAATCAATTCATTTTTTTTTTAAACGAACACGCAATAATTGACGGCAGTTTATATATCAACTTCTTCCTTTTTAAGATCGCAATGAAAATGTGCATATAATATATGTATTATGCAGGAAATTAATTTTTAAGATGTGGTCAAAATTTGATCGAAGCGGAACAAAGCAACACATTAATATGGATTGAAATTGAAATATTTGGTATAATTTACACAACGTAACTTTTTTTAATATATATATAAACATTCAAATTTGTTTTGTTCTTTTTTTTTTTTTTTTTTTTGATTTACAACATTTTTTTTCAAATACCACATTTGTGACTTCGGGAATAAGTACAACCATGAAAGTGCTTTTTCCTTTTCTTTCTTATGCTGTTAGTTTAACTCAGTTATTTTGTGTCATGAATTTGGTATTGATGTCATCTCGTATGTTTTAAATAGGAAGAAAAGGGGATCCTGTTGTATGTCAACGAGACACAAACAAAAGACAAAAAAAATAAAAAAAACGAGCAACATTAATTCTTCAACAATAAAATACGTTACAAGAAAATAAGTTTTGTAAGTTTAAAAAGACCCAAATTCGTGAAATACAAGAATGATATATCGACGAGTACTGCAATTTAGTTTTTGACCCACTGTCTTTGGTCAAAGAGACAAAAAGGATCATACACATGCGTAACAGTTTCCCCTTTACATAAAAGCATTATACAAGCAGAAAAGTCTTTAATTAATAATATATACACACAGATATATACATAAATAGAGGCAATTGAGTTGTGTAGTACTGGAATATACAAGGCAAACTAATCATATGAGTTCTATGTATGACTGAATGATTCAAACGATGATCCATGTGAAAATTATCCATTTAAAAAAAGATTTTTTTTTCATCGTCCGGAACTCTTTTCACAAACAAATCCTATGCATTGAATAAATGGTAGGTTACTCTGAAATGATCACAACGTGGGAGTATTTTTCCTATTAAGATATTTTGTGAATTAACCCCATCGACTTAAAGTTTTTACAATGAAAATCCAAATGTGTTTACAAATGTATTTTTCAATTATTTAATGTTATCGATAGCCGGATGACAAACAAGTTAAAGGTAAATGATTCAGTATTTTAAACAACAAAAGTACTACGGTTGTCTACATTGTTACGGGGACAGGCGCAAAAATGCGGCGTGGTTAAACATGTTTTGTGAGATCTCAACCCTCCCCCTATACCTCTAGCCAATGTAGAATAAACAAACACACAGCAATACCTTCCGATTTCCTGTGATGGTATAAACCAAATGCTTTTCTCGTGCATATATAATTCATAGTTCTTGGTAAGTCATATTCTAGGAACAGAGAAATACTAATTTTCTATAAGAAGAGAAGGTTCGAGTTAGTTGTAGACGGGCAATACTTGGTCCGATTTTATTAACATTCATATTTCATATTATCTTGCCTATACCCCCGATATTTGCGTATGGTTCGTGTTGCTCAGTCTTTAGTTTTCGATGTTGTGTTGTGTTTACTGTTGTTTGTCTTTTGGTCTTTTTAGCTTTTTGCCATGGCGTTGTCAGTTTATTTTCGACTTATGAGTTTGATTGTCCCTTTGGTATCTTTCGCCTCTCTTCTATACCAAAACGATAATACATATGTTTAATTGCTGCAAAACCATAGGTTTGTGAATGTACAATGTTCTCCTTTTTAAATGTCATGTGTATCAAAATATCAGAAATAAATTACTCATTTTTTTTCTTTTTGTGACATTTTATAGAAAAAGTTATCCTCAGCTGTCCTGTTTGTCATATAAAGCAGAATGGTAACGATGCCACCATCAAAGATCTTCATGGAAACACTTATATGGTCAGTAATATTTAGATTAGACGTCGCACAGGTTATACTTTGTATTTCTATGGGTTTTTTATTCTATGGTTTATATTTTTTTTACCTTTTACGAGATTCAGTCTCGTATAACTTTTTCTCTCTGATGTTTTAACCCTAGATGAAACCGACGAAAAGGCATAGCTTGACTAATGAAATTTATGTTTGTTAATGCTTAGATGGACGAGATAACATTATAAATATAATTATTACAATATTATATAAATGCAACGTTTATATAATATTCAAATGGATTTCATTGTTCCGTATGATTTTATTTGGAAATATGTTATCATTATCTCAAGACATTATCGTCAGTTTTCTTTTTAAAATTAAAAACTTCTTGTTGCTGTATTCGAAAATTATTTAAATGGACAGAATTTTCATCAGTATTTTATTAACTATTTTTGCAGGCAAAATATGTAATAATGTCAGTTCCAGTACCATTACAAAACAGAATAGTATATGAACCTCCATTACCGGCAAACCGAAATCAATTGATTCAGCGTATGCCTATGGGATCTGTAATAAAAACCTTTATGTATTATGACACACCATTCTGGAGAAAAGACGGTATGACGATTAAATTGAAGTTATAAAATAAAATTGCTACTTACATTAGAACCTTTGAAATGATGTTGCTGGTGTACTACTGTGTTGTTTGTTATAACAGTTAGAACCTTTGAAATGATGTTGCTGGTATACTACTCTTCTGTTTGTTATAACATTTAGAACATTTGAAATGATGTTGCTGTTATACTACTGTATTTCTTAAGTTTGTTAACAGTTAGAACCTTTTATCTTTATAATTCCTACCAATCCTATTCATTTAATTAAATTAGTTGAGATATTATTTACATCAAAACGGAACAAGATTGACTCAAAACGTCCAGTATCGAATATGAAGATGAATGGTATTCGAAGCCCAGAACTGTTCTTCATATTTTAATATAATCATCATTTTGAGGTCTTTTATAGCGTGCCATGCGGTATGGGGTTTGCTCATTGTTCATTGTTCAAGATATAACGGTGACCTTTAGTTGTTAAAACTCTACGTCAATGGTCTCTGGTGGAGAGATCTGATTGGCAATCATACCACATCTTCCTACTTTTGTATTGGCAGTAAAATTACTACCAGTATATATACTGTCGGCTGATTTCCTTTTGAAATATGCACTGATTTGTGAGGTCATATGTAACTACTTTTTATGTACTCTACATGCATTAGGTTCAACAAAAACCTGCACAGAAATAGCAAACAAAACTACACAAAACACCATCTTTCTAATCTGTAATTGCGTTTATTTTCAAACTTAAAAGGGTTTTGTGGATCCTCGGCTATTGATGATGAAGATGCCATTATAGGATTTACCATGGATAATGTCAATCCTGATGGTTCATGTCCAGCTCTAATGGGGTAAGACTAATTTAAATAAACTTGTTCAGCGAAAATATGATGTGTATTGCTATGTTAGACACATAATTGTAATGTCTCGTCTTGGACTCTCATAGAAAAACAGTTAGACCGGCTATTTTAGAATAAAAAAGATTTTGAAATCCTCTTCATATGACAACAATTGGTCTTCCATTGATCAATTCAATATGATACAAATGTTCTCTATACACATACTTTTAATTTTGTACACATCAGACTAAATTTCTTTAACACACTGGTATTCAAGATTTTGACACAGTCGAATATGACTCCATTAGACTTTCTCAATATGAAAATGATCTAAATCAACATAGAATCCCAAGTCTCACAAAATGGCTTAGAGTGGTTGTACAACAGGTAATTCGAGAGTGCTCAGATGATAAACAATGAAAACTGAAACGGTCTGGGAAGAGGTTCTGTGCAGCTTTTCATTCATGGCACTAGAAATCTCTGAACAGTATTTATTTACTTCAAAGGGTACTTTTTTCAATTTACAATTTCGTTAAATTCCGTCTTGCCAGATTGTGTAAACGTTGGAAACTACCGTTCGCACATCAGTGTAGAAGATGTGATAAGAACCATTAATTGTCCACTGAAATTGCCCAAATTATTACAATTATGTTGATGTCATTGGTATACGAACAGCTTGATTTAATCTGGACACGTCAGTGCAGAAATGTCACTTGTGATGTCATTATGATGTAATAAACCTGTCGAAATTGATATCATTGATCTAGAATAGCCATTTTACAAATAGATTTTGGCTAAGATAGATATGAGGCAAGGAATACCCAATCGATATTTTACATATGTTAACATCTTTATAAAATACAGTTAGTAGTAAAATAACTTTTTTGAGTAAAGCTTAAGACTCATATCTTTTATTAATGAAAAGATCTCAAAGTGAGGTTATTTTTGCAGTATTGCAACGTTTTCTAGTAACAAGAGTTAGTCCGATTTATGCTATTAGAAATAGCAAAGGCTAGAATATCAAAGCAATCATCTTTAGTTATAAATAGAATAGTTTGAAAAAAATAATTTCAGATTTATATTAGCGGATAAAGCAAGAACATTATCAGTCTTATCGCGAGATGAAAGAAAACAAAGAATTGGAGAACTTTATGCAAAAGTATTTAAATCAGACCAAGCCAAACATGTAAGTTTATTTTTGTGCAACGTATTTATATGTTGTAAACAGTGGAACACACCATCTGCTTAGTAATTTCAATACTTTTCAGGAGGTTTGGAATGTGCAACAAAACATTACATCTGTTCCTGTGTAGATGAAAGAGGTCCGACATAGAAGATGCAATTTAGATAACTCAATGACGTAAAAAGTACTGCCATGCAGTAATAACTTTTTGTTATCAACTTTAACCTGTAAATTAAAAGTATATTGATAAATAAAATCACCAAAGATACCTTCATGTTCGAACATTCATTCTCTTACAGCCTAAACATTATGAAGAATTAAATTGGCCTGCAGAGCAATGGTCTGGTGGATGCTATACAACAATGATGCCACCTGGATTTCTTACCAAATTTGGCAGGTATGATAGATAAGTTCAAAATCTGAATAATATTTGACGAATATGGGTAAGTTATTGTAAAGGAATGTCAATAAACATGAAAAGCATTACAGTTAAAATATTAAAGGTAACCACACAGCTATTATTTATTCTTAATTAAATATTGTTTATGTGGTATATGGCACAGAGGATAACATAAGCTTTGAGTATTTCAATATCCAATATCATCGTTGGCTTTGGCATTCAGAAATAATTTTTTTCCAAGAAGCCATGATCATTGGGTTGAAATGGACATGAAAGTTTATTTTAAAAGTCATAAAGACCAGCCCTTGATATTAGTAACTATCCGAAATTTAAAGCCATGGTGAATAATCAAGTTTAAATATCGTCTATTCTCTGTCGTACATACTAGAATCAACAACAATGCAAATGATATTGTTATTGGACGTTTCATTCAGCCTGATCATCCAATTCTTTCAACTTAACTTAACTCTTATAACGACTTAGCATGTGTAGGTGCAGAATTTTCAATTGATGTTAAGATCAAACTGTTCGTTTAAAACTAAAATTCATTTCGGGTTAGTTATAGACAATTCACTTCGATGCCTAACATTACTTAAACACAATGATTTAGAAAAAAAAAGTTCACTTATATATTTTGTTGTATGTTCCATTCGATTTTAAAGAAAGTTGAAGAACTGGGTATTTCTTCCCTCTACTGAATACCCAAATTACAACGCAATTCCCATTGAGACTACTTACCCAAGGGGCTATATCACATAAGTATGCCAACAATTGAAGGATCTATTGAGATACATACAATTTGGTTTTGGATTTGACAACTTATACTTTTGGGTGCAATCATCAGTTTTTCTGAATGCAGTCATATGTGAGGGCACATGTAATGTAATCCCTTATGTTATATTGATTATAAAGATGCGTGTATAAACTGGAATCAGAATTTTGTCAAGGTGATAATGAAATGAAAATAAAGTGTAATTTCAATATAATAAAAAAAATTTCGGCCCATAGAAAATGATTAAACATTTTGATCTCTGCCAACATGAAAAACATGAAATCATGTCATGTGTTTACCCATGTATACACATTTCAGATAATCAAAACTGTATGAGTTCCAAAGACTTTTTCTTGGTCTTTAGAAAAAATTATCCCTCCAGAGTACATTCGCTCGCTCCAGAAAGAGCCACAGTAGCTACAATCTAGTTTTCAATTTTCCTACATAAAACGGAGTTTACATTATGTTTTTCTCCTAAACCAAGTACATCTATTCTATTTTCAAAATCATTTTGATCATTCTACTTGTTTTAATTGATACACAACTAACTAATTCTTATTATCAAATACAAAAAAACCCACACATATGGTGTCTTTTCCCATATTCAACATTCCATTTCTATGCAGCAACATTGTAGTAGCAGCACTTGTATATGGAATACATGAATACCTTTTAATTCTAGGCCTTGCGTTTCGTATAAGGATTTCATTTACAAGGAAGCTTTTGAACCAAAGGTTCTCAATGGTAAAGTTGATTGATTGGTGTTTAACGCCACTTTCAGCACTATTGTGCTATTTCGTGGCGGTCATTTTTTATTGTTGGAGGAAGCCGGAGCGCCCATAGAGAAACACCGACTTTCGGTAGGAAAACTGACAATCCTAATCAATTAAGATTGGAGTCGAGCGGTAAAGTTGAAGTTATCTCTCAAAATATTTTACGGACGCTTTCATGATTTCGAGTAACTTTTTTATGGATATGTTCACCTGTCATACCCATAACTCCACCCTCTTTTTCTCGATTATCATATATCAATTGTGACTTATTACCGTATTTACTTTTTACAACAACATGTGTAGGTGAAAATTGACTTTACTGCAAATTGCTATTTTGATCTGTAGATAGTAGTATTTCTCTTTTCCTTTTGAAACTCCCTTACCTAGATCTCGTAGATGTAAGTAGTCTTTATTAGCATTAACTGTCGCTCAAACTCTTTGCCCTTGATAAAATGAAAGTATAGAGGACATTGTTGCCCTATTTTACTGTTTACTATTTTTCAGTGAACTTAGAAAATCGGTTGGTAAAATGTATTTTGCCGGAACAGAAACTGCTACCGAATGGTCTGGTTATATGGAAGGTGCTGTACAAGCTGGAGAACGAAGTGCCAGAGAGGTAAGAAAGTACTTCTGTAAAATAAGGTTATTAAAACACGCATGCGGATCAACACGGTTATCTGTTTCAACCTAATTTGATTCTAGAATCTGACAATGATTGTAGGAAATTTAACACTTTCCTACTAAGTAAACAGCTACTATAACATTGTTGGTAAAAGATATATTTTATTGCATTCAACATATATAAAAATATAAACATGCGGTTTGATTGCCAATAAGACAACTCTCCACCAGAAACAACACGACATAAAAGCTAACAACCAACTATAGGTCACTGTACGACCTTCAACAATGAGCAAAACCCGTACCGCATAGTCAGCTATAAAATGCCCCGCAATGACAATTGTAAAAAAATTAAAACGAGAAAACTAACGGCCTGATTTATGTACTAAACAAGAACAGCACCAAACGACAACCACTGAATTATAGGCTCCTGACTTGGGACAGGAACATACAGAATTCGTGCATGCATATATAGAATACATCAAACAAGTTAACTTGCAGGACTTGGCGCAAAATCTTATATTGTTAAAGCATAAATTTCAGTTAGAACTTCTCACATGTATTTGATTTCTAATAAGTTTTAGTTTAATTTTCTTCTATTCTATGACGGCTAAGGCACTTGAGATGAGAAGGTCAATAAAACTATGTGTTCATTATAACTCTTTTGGAATTATGTTCGTGGATATAGTTGGAAATTGAATTCAAGTGATAGACAAATAATAAAGTTGTTTTCTAGGCTTGTATGCCTAATTTAACAAAACCACGAAATCAAATCATCTACAATAATACAATAAATAATACTCGAAAACTGGTACTCACGGAAATAAACGAATCTACAGTATTTGAAGTGAATAAGTAAACTTTCAGAAGAATTATTGAGAAAAAGTAAAATATTATTTTGTAAAGACATTTAATTATAATGATTTTTTCCTAAGGTCATGGCTGAAATGGGAAAATTGTCTGCATCAGAAATTTGGCAGAGAGAACCTGAAAATAAGGTAAAAAGCCATTTAATAAATGAAAACAAATAAGCAATCATATACACTTATTGTTCAAATAAGATATAATTTATTATGTGAAATTTTTGGGACTATAATAATATATGTCATTATGAATAAGATGTGATATGAGTATACCTAAATAAATAAGCAACAGAAATACACAAGAAATTTTAAATCGCTTAGAGTCTACAACATGAGTTGATTTTATAAAAAATTTCAAAGATATACATTCGAAAACAACTTCCTTAAAGGAAAAACATATTAAGATATTACCAAAGATAACCACTGATTTCTTGCTGTCTTGTGACTAGCACATTCGCATTTGGCGAGGTCAAACTAGTTTATTAAGCCCTCAAACATCTTTTAATCACAACCATTGTTATAAAAAAAGGAACTTTGAAGTTAAGTTGTTTTTCTTTAGTTTGACAAAGGGATTTTTAATGATCAGCAGGAGAATCAAAATGTTTGATATCCAAGTCAAAGTTGATCGAGTTACATTTTTTATATACAATAGATTGTTTTTGACAAAAACGAAGCATTATTCTTTTGTAAATATTTTAAAGGACTACATTATTTGGATATAAGAAATAATAGCAAACATCGGTTCTCCTTAAGTCATAATAACTTTTTGTCACTGCTATAAATTAAAACAGGTAACTACAGTCGAATCAGTATATTTGTTCATGAATTCAGTACAAGTCATGTTTAACCATTATAAATTCACAGTTTTAATTGAAATGTATTTTTATCAATTATTCTATGAATTTTCAGCGAGTAAAATCAAGTCCGTTTCCATCTACTTTCATGAATAGACACCTTCCATCTGTGCCAGGATTTTTTGGACTGTTAGGGAGTGTTGGAATTCTATCTGCAGGAGTATTAGCTGCTGTATTATACCAGAGACATTTTCGTTGAAACGTGTGCTGGCATTAAACTTCCAGTGTACTGTAATCTTCTCCTCAAATATGTTGTAGGAACTAATGTTACAACTTGAAGGGGCAATGCTATGGTCTGTCTGACATAAAAACATTGTATCTTCAAAAATGAAACAAATACAGTTACCTAAAAGGATATGATCTATTATTTATAAACAAATATTTTTTTTTGTAACTGAAATAACCGTTATAGTATTGCATGTTGAACCTAATGAATGGAATAGTATCGATCTACAGTTTATGTTATAACTGTATAGAAAAGTGAGAGAGGTTGCTTTTCACGTTTTTCCGATTATTAAAGTTGCCATATTTTCATAATCACACATCTGAGAAGATTTTATGGACCATGAATTGCATGGTTGAAGTCCCTGCTGTAAAGACAGTTGAGCTGGGGCAGTTCTAAAAAAAGTATGGAGGGTCATACAGGCCATCAAAGAACGGTGGTCGCCATCACGACTACAGGCGGGATTGGGGGCGAAGGGGTTAAACGTATTTTATCAAAATCGTCAAATCTGTCTTCTGTTGGGTTTTAGGGGCGTTTTGGGGTTTAAAACTGACCAAAACACTCGTTTAAGGTTGAAAATCGGAAAAAAATATTTTTAGTTTAACTCATTAGACCCCAAGAGAATTCTGGAAAATCAGGCATTTTCGAAAATTTGCAAACTTATGCAAATTATATGCAAATTAGTAGACTCTTGATGCTGTAACTGATGCTGATCTTTTAAACTAGGTATTGAGATTTGGGGGCGGATGGCATGAGTGGCGGGTGGGGTGGGAGGTGGTATATTTTCCGGTGGGTTTTGAACCCACCCCTACTGAAAAATTTTCATATTCAGTCAATTTTTCGATTTTAATACGACCTTGAGAGGTGAACAATGACTAAACTGTGTTCCTTTGTCATTCAAGTATTACCTTACAGTTACAGCAGTCTATCCATACTGACTGGAAGTAAATGTGACTTGAGAATCTTGCTGGGGAATTATTATTGGCTAGCCAAGTATGCCTAAATGTCCGTTTTTACCGATTTCTGACAAAACGGTGACCTAGATTTTACAGAAAAGATTTTTTTTGGCCATATTATACCTCCTTGTGTTCCTGTACCATATATGCATGTATTTATGATACTAGTTGATACCTACAGCCCATACCAGTCACGTAGTGGCCATAAAAAGACTCCCACCTCCACCTGATTTTGGCTACTTTTTACGTTTTTCCGATTATGAACTCTAAAAAGGCCATTAAATTTGCCATATTTTCATAATCACACATCTGAGAAGAGTGTATGGACCATGAATTGCATGGTTGAAGTCCCTGCTGTAAAGACAGTTGAGCTGGGGCTGTTCTAAAAAAGTATGGAGGGTCATACAGGCCATCAAATAATGGTGGTCGCCATCACGACTACAGGCGGGATTGGGGGCGAAGGGGTTAAAAGGATGTGTGGGGTATTCGTCAATGAAAAATCATCATAACGACACAGATAACCAAAAGACACCTATGGCATATAGGACATGTAGTACAACTTGTATTCAAAACGCCCTTTTTATGCATGTGCATGAGAGTATGCAGCTTTATTTATGCTTATGCTTCATTCAGGAATTAAGAAATCTAGTTTCATGTTCACACAGTTAAAACACAAAAATCACACATAAAGCAAAATTTCTTTTTAAGTATAGTTTATAGATAACTGCACAAATTAAAACGCATACATCGTTAATTTCCAGTTACATTTTATACATTTTGTATAATTTCCCTTTGATATCAGCAGAAAAGCTGCTGCTTTCTTCTTTCAAGGTGAACATAAAATTTAGTTTCAGAATGAGTACATTATATACAGTATTAATACTTTTAGTTTGTTAACGATAGGATTTTATATATCATATTGCACCATCATTGTGAAATAAGATATGAAGTTACACGTCTTTCTTTCAAATTTATAATGAAAAAAAACGAACACTAAGGGAAAATGAACCTGCATTTAAAAACACGATTAGCCCAAAATTACAAAAAATAGTATGCCATAAGGCTTACGAAAACCCATTTTTGGAAAAAGGACGTACAACACCATGGTAAAAAAAAGATAACATAAATAACATTGCACACACTACTCAAGATTGTGCAAACACGAACCCTACCAAAGACATGGATGAACTCATGTAAAGAATTCGACTGTCATATTGAAAGGAGATTTATCATATTTGGTTACAAGTATTTTAATGGAATATTGCTATTTCTAAGTTAACTTCATTGATAATTTTTTAAAATGATTTCTACTGATACAACTGTAAAAGCGATCTACATATCTAGTTCAACTACCTTAGGTTATTCAATCTATAATTTCAGAGGACGATTAAAAAAGGTTTCATCATCATATCATGCTAATCAACTTTGAAGTTAATATTATAGGTAATTAATTGACTGAGTGAGTCAATTGAACTTGGGCCACATGTGTTTATTATATGGTATATCCCCATGGACCGTCAAAAAAAGGTTTATAATTGTATCTTTTTATAACTTTTCAAGCGCATAATGTTTTAGCAGGTCATATTATAATTAGTTTCATATACCGACAAAGAAACAAAAGAGAGGCGAATGATAACAAAAGAATATTCAGACTCATACGTCGAAAACAAACTGACAATGTCATGACAAAATACGACGAAAAGACAAACAAAAGTTCACAAAACACAACATAGAAAACTAAGGACTGAGCAACACGACCCCGACAAAAACACGGGGTGATCTCAGTTGCTCCGGAAGGGGAAGCAGATCCCGCTCCACACATGGCACCCGTCAAACAAATTATTACTGAATATACTTGTCTGTTTTATCAAGGACGAAAAAGTGTGGTACACCAAGACAATAACAAATTTTGAATTCATAGAAGAATTGTATACAAAAAGATGCATAGAATATCTGTATAGTGTAATTAAACTCATCATAGATACCAGGATTGAAATTTTGTATTTGCGCCAGACGCGCGTTTCGTCCACAAAAGACTTATCAGTGACGCTCAAATAAAAAAAAGTCAAAAAGGCCAAATAAAGTACGAAGTTGAAGAGCATAAATGTTACCTTTGTTGGAAAATAGTGTGTGTTGCTTCTCAAGATCATTCAATCAGTCAAAGTATCAAAATATAATTTTCATTCGCTGAAGGAAGATAATCAAAGCCAAGTATTCAAGCAAGAACAGTTAAGTGCTATTAAATTATTCTATCTTTTCACTCTTCTCTTAAATGATTGAATGCAAACTGCTTTCACTATATGATAAAAAAATTGGAAACAACACGTTTAATAATTCCATGCGTCCGAAGCGCTTTTCTGGATTTACCTTCATCAGGAACGCTCAATGCCAAACATTTGAAATCCGAGGGATGCATAAGTACCGAAACAGTTGAAGAGCTATATGACAAAAATACCTAAAACAAATAGCCAAATTCATCTAAGGTCAACTTTGCCTGAGGGAGTTGAAACCTTAGTTTCTTTATAATTTCAAAATTTATAAACGGACAAATTTAGAAAAGTTTGTTATAAATCATGTCAGTACCGAAGTACTGACTACTGAGCTGACGATACCCTCGGGGACTGATAGTCCACCAGCAGAGGTATCGACCCAGTGATGTAAAAAATTGGAAACAACACGTTTAATAATTCCATGCGTCCGAAGCGCTTTTCTGGATTTACCTTCATCAGGAACGTTCAATGCCAAACATTTGAAATCTGAGGGATGCATAAGTACCGAAACAGGTGAAGAGCTATATGACAAAAATACCTAAAACAAATAGCCAAATTCATCTAAGGTCAACTTTTCCTGAGGGAGTTGAAACCTTAGTTTCTTTATAATTTCAAAATTTATAAACGGACAAATTTAGAAAAGTTTGTTATAAATCATGTCAGTACCGAAGTACTGACTACTGAGCTGACGATACCCTCGGGGACTGATAGTCCACCAGCAGAGGTATCGATCAGTGATGTAAAAAATTGGAAACAATATGATGCTGCCCAATAATGGCAACAGTAGTATATCGGTGTTCAAAAGTAATAAATCGATTGAGAGAAAACAAATCCGGGTTACAAACTTAAATCAAGGAAAACACATCAACTATTAGAGGAAAACAAAGGAACAACAGGACCACAGAAGTGTAACAAAATCATACGCCAACATACATAGAAACGAACTATTTGATAACAACTGCCATATTCCTGACTTGGTACAGGACATTTTTAGAAAAAAATGGGTTGGTTGAACCTGGTTTTATGGCTAGCCAAATCTCCCGCTTATATGACAATGTTAAAAAGTATCGCTAAAATGACAATACTACGTGACAGAAATACAAACAGATGAAAATTGTATTAGCACTTGAGTTTTAAACTTGCCAGATTAATTTAAAACTTGAGTTTAAATGAGTTATTTACCAAAAAGTATTTGTGTTATAAATTCTTTTCTCTAAATCTCATGACAAAAAAATAGAAATAATAAATTTACTTATTACTGATTTCCTTTTAAGTGTTTTCAATACATTTCTTTGTTGGAATGTAGAAGATATTTGTTCAGTAAATTCTATTGATCGAAATGTTGCATTCATTTTCTCCCATATCGTTTCACTTTCAAAAAGGATACTTGAGTTATGCCGCATTGAACAGATATTGTTGACGTCGCTAAGTACAGTACATGATCTATTTTTATGAAAACTTCTTAATGTATCATACCTTTTTCTATATTTTCATTTTCATTTTAATTTTTATTTTGGTCAAAACACCGAACTCCACTAATAAATATTTTATACAAACCGGGAAACACCTAATAAATAAAACTCGTGTTTCTCCCACCACCATAGTTACAAAGTTGACAAGCACAAGTATCAAGTTGCAGTTCGCCACCTTATTTTTCTTTGTTCTAAACATTAAGATCTAATATTTGCTAATTTGCATTCGGAAAACCTTGTTTGTTTTCGGCTCTTAATTATAACGCCTGAATAGCTAAGCTTCACTCTACGTAAAGTTAATATTGTGACACAATGGAAAATTATGGCCATATTCTGTGCTAATTTTACAAAGGATTTTGAAGTTGATTTGTCCATAGGAACTTAAGAGTAAAGACCTGGCTTGTCATTAAAGTAGAAAAAACAATATGTTTTTTGTTTCGGTAATTTTATAATTAAAAAGTAACCTGGAATCCATGAAGATGTTTTATTATTTACATTTAACTGTAGCCTTATTCTTTCTTGAGTATAT